CAACATTGCTAAAGCAAAGAAGAACTCAGCTAGCATGCTAGCTTTCGTGATAATTCTTTTGATATATATTTCAGCCCTCATTCCTAGCGTTCGAAGATGAGCTGGAGGGACACAACACGGTCTCCACCCGGCCCCTGGGTGGCCGATAGTGATAAAGCAACGCTGCCAGCCGCGCCCAAGCCGAGGCCAGCTCCGCGCGGCCGCCCGCCAGCTGCGAGAACAGCAGGTCGCACAGGGCGTCGGTGCTGGGTGGGGATTCCAGGAGACAGATCGCCTTGAAATGGCAAGCAGGACTGGTGAAATGATGGACCGGGGGAAACATCCAGTCGTTTCTCTGGTCGTTGGGTCACATGGACCAGTCAACAACTGGATTTCGGAATGTGAAGGTCTTTGATGTTGATTGGCATGTTCTTTTCCAGAAGCCCCACAGCCATCACGAGACTCAAAATGTTGAGCGAAAACACACCAGGGCAAATGAGAACACACCATGTGAGCGAACCGTCTGAAACTGTGCGAACCTCTTATACCCTCTCCATCTTTAGTTCTCCAGCCGTACCCCCCGCCAGCATTACCTTCAAAACACAATGAAAACAAAGGTTCAGCCACTGACTGGGAACAGCTGCATGCAACCCACAACACGGTGGTTAATGGATACCCCTTGGGTGCAAGAGTAAAGGTCTAGTCCCTCTCTATGGCAGATTCCAGCAGTACATCAGTACATCTCGTACTCGGCTCGCTCTACAGCTTTAGGACTAGAGCCAACGAATGGGTTTAAGTGAACATCTGTAGGAAACCCTTGCTTGCAACCCCAAAACTATGGCTTTCCTGTAGATCTTCCCGCAAAAACCCGGTCCTCATACAAACTTCCGGCATTGGACGTCCTTCGAGCGTCGCGACAGGTGTTCTTTTTCCGGGTGGTCTCGGTCTACACCCGAGGAAGCCAAGATTGAAATGGATCCATTCCTCCGGCCACTTGGACGAGACATCCGGACGACAGATGTTGACTACCAGATATCCGGACGTCCTGGGCGACTTGGTGCCATATCTGCACACACAGACGTCGCCCAGTGTCCTTGGATCTTTGGGTCTTTCGGTCTTTAGCCCTCTGGTCCCCGGTATGGTCCCTTCGGACCACTGCAGACTCCGGGCGAGGGTGGGCGACTCTGCGAGTCAATCCTGGAGTTGCGGGGGTTGAAGCAACATGAGTTGGTCCAGCACCCGACCTGAAAGTATTGCTAAGCGTTGCGCTTCCCTAGGCCTCCAGTCGTACCGAACCTCAGAAGGTGGGACTGGGGTGGGTGCCATGTTCGGGTCCAGTCATACCTTCTGAGGAGGTACTTGGAGGTGTAGGGCTTATCATATGGTGTCACAAATCACGGGGTTCTCTGACTCCTATTGGCACTGACCAGCTGGGAGCTGGGAAAACAAAACAGCTCTAGTTGCAAATGGTAAGGCGCTGCTTCTGGACGATCCTCCACCTGATCAAAGGGCACAAAACACGGAGCCCCAACCGGCCAGGCGAATGGTGCGCCTGGATCGTGAGCTTTGGCTTTTCTATGTCTGGCCACGGGTGGGATCGATCCGCATGACCAAGTACAAGAAGCTACTAGGAACAAGTGCATCGCTTCTAGTAACTAAGTGCCTTACTAGTAGTAACAAGGTTCGCTACGAACGGGGCTCCTGTGCCTATTCCAACAGTGCGGATGTCGTGTGCCACCATGAAGCGTCTTTGGTGCGGTGGACGGCCTCCACCGGTGGGGCACTGCAGCGGGGCACTGCCCCGTGCCTTCGAACAACACCATCCCCAAACACTCCGTGGGATTGCCATAGGACCGCCGATGACCCCCAACCACCCCAATGTATATACCCTGGAAGTCCAAGGACTATATTTTGACCGGCTGAAGTAAAGGAAGTTCCCTTTCAGGTCCCCTAAAGACCATTCTTTTTATAGTCTTTGACTCCCAGGGTATATATATGTAAATATACAATATATGGAGTGTCTGGCACCTCTTTTTGTACTGGCTCACCTTCATGAGCAGTTGTTTGGGACCCCACGCTACAAAACATGCTCTCCCTCGAGCTTTCTTGATCTTCACCCTTTTCCCTCTCATGATAGGCCATACAACCATATAAGAACACCTTTCAGGGCTGCTAACTTGGTGGGGGCCCTATATCAATATATCTATATAGTGCTGGTCAAGCTCAGTTTCAATTTCTGGTGAGAAGGGTTGTGCCATATCTTTCTGGGGTCTATATGGTACTTGGCGGCACCATCTATCAGAATCTATCATCACATGTTTATGTATATATTATGTTCATTCACGATGTGCAATCATTGGAGGCAGGACCAGGCCTTGACGATCTAAGGTACTGGGAACTCCCCCGTGTCACGCTGGAAAAAGAATAGGGGCCAAATGTACTCAAAAAAAAAGGTTTCAGAGGTTCGATGGCATTGGCACCCAAAGATGTCTTGAACATATGGGCTCCCTGATTCTTCCACCAAACTGCGCTCCGCAAGCGTGCCATCGAACCTCTGAAACCACCATCTTAGCCTTCCAAAAATGCCCCAAGAATTGGAAGCGAGCGATTTCGCACACCGAACCTCACGCCATTTCGCACGTGGCGCCAGAGCAGGATGGAGCGGGACATCCCAGAAATCAGTCCCAGACGCGACCCAAACGGAACTGCCGAGAAACCGCCAGAGGTGGTGGTGGAAGTCGGGGGTCTTTCTGGGGCGGCAGTCCTATTCCATTCGCAAACAGGTCGTGTAAGGGAGTGATCTTGATGGCATCCCAAGCTACAGGCCCAGGCAAAGTCGAACTCGCCAACTCCATGAGCAAGGCCGACGCCAGGGAGTTCTTTGCACTGGAGAGCCTGTTGAAGCTTCTCCTTCTAGGTGTGAATTTGCATCGTGAGAGCCCTGAAAGACTTCCCTGGAAGAAGGAAAAGGGACCACCACCCATTCTAGTGGGTGGCGCCTATGAAAATACAATTCCTTTTCATCCCTGCGCATCGTCCATGGCGCGCGACGCGAAAAAAAGTCGCTGCTTCGCGCTGGCTGAATGTCCAGCCACCATGGAACGCAGCAGGCCTCGCAAGCCTCCAAACAGGAACCTGGAGCAGCAAAAATCAAAGCTGGACAAACGTAAGAGAGCCATTTCTATCCCTCCCTCCCCCTCTCTCTCTCTATCTTGGCCAACCCCCATCCATGTAATATCTCTATATATTGAATTGAAACTCACAGGAGCTCTTTTGTTGTTTTCTTCTGTGCTTTTGTAGAGCCAGTGCCAATGACACACAGTGTTTCTGGAGATTGTCATAAAAAGAACAAAAACAAAGCAACACAACAACTACAGGGCACCAAAGGGTAGTCAAGTTCAAGTTCTCTCAATCCTTTGAGCTTCTTTCTCCACATCCTGCTCTTCCTTTTGTGAATCCACTCCCTGGAGAGCTAACTAATCTTACAACTGTTTCTTGGTGATTTGGCACAACTTCTTATCCTGGACACCCCCACCAAATTTGTGCACAACTTTAGAGAAGGGCCTCTGATTTATGTTCTAAGGCTGCGAGGATCCTTCGGTGAACCCTCAGCAAAACACCAGGAACGGGATTGATGCTCTGCAGATTTCATATCAATCGGAGTTCCCAATATTGCCTTCCTCAAGAACGCCCGATATTAAGAAACATAATGCACTTGAAGTCAAAATTGTTCTTCTGATTGAGAATAACCTGACGGGGGGTGTGCATTCTCATAAAAATGCACTCAACCTGAAATGAGGTCTCGTCCATGTGACAATCGTGTACCCACCCGTGTGGGACCGTACCGAACCGAAGGACGGAAGGACGGGGGTCACTGCTGTTTCTATCCAGGTAGCGGGAACCGGTACGACTGGATCGCGTCGTTGGGCCATTGACGGCCAATGTCAAGGATCTGTTCCCACTCATCATGTCGGCTGAGTGGGTCGTTTTCGTCTCACCCTTCACATGCTGGACCACCGGAGCGCGGTGGACGTACGCATGGGTCGTGAGTCGGTGTGGACCCGGCCAGGGGAAGAAGCAAGCTCATGGTAGGATGATCAAGCTGCCAATCATGACTTACTGCATTTCCCCTGCGTTCATGCAGTCTGCTCCAGCAAAACCGGGTCTTTTGCCTCCGGTGCTTTTACAACACCAACTCTAGTAAAATGAGCTCATTGACCTGTAGGGATGTGGATTCATATTACTTGGGGACCTCACCCCAACCCCAACCTGGTCCCCCAACCCCCGCGCGCTTCTTTTGCTGAGCCGGCGCGGGTGCGGCCGGACGGGTGCAGCCGGACGGGTCAGCTGTCGGGAAAGGATGCCGCTCTGTGACTAAACTTATCTAAAGCTTATTATATAATTAAAGCAAACCTCGAAGGCTTGAAGAATTCTGGATCAAACCACTGAAACACACACATAAACACTCCAACAAGTATAGTCAGCCATAGTCAACCAACAGGGTCATCTTCTTTCAACTTCCATGAAGCTCGGCACACGTCTTCTCCGATCTCTGACCTCTGACCTCCCCATCACTTGGACAAGGCCCGCAAGGCGCTGGCAAAGGCCAGGCGGTGATCCTCATCAGTGACCTGAACGTGTTCGTAGAAGTCGTTCAGCTTTCCACTGTAACGCTCTTTGATCTGGTTCACACCTGGCCACTGGTGCGCACGTGTGGCGAGCGCGACACTCGCGCCGGCGCGACATGTGGCGCCGCTTCGCCAGGGTTCGATCGGGGAAAAACGAGCACCGGCCGCATGGCAGGTGCTGGGACCGCTAGGAGGTGGACTTCTTGTTATAAGTGACAATAGGGTGCCATCCCCAAAACACTGGCAAACCGGACCTCTTTATAGACATGAACATCGGGTGCCATCCCATCCGGCCCCCAAAAACGGACGTCTCTCGGTCTGCAGGCTGGAACGGATGTCTCAGGGCCAGGCCACACTACAAGGAACACTAAAGTCAACCAGGGGTTATATACTTGTTTCTCTGCCTGGAACATCCTGGAACTAACGTGGAAGTGGAAAACCATCTGTTTGTAGTGGAAAATGGTCTTCCAAGGGGCCATTCTCCACTTCCATGTTAGTTCCAGGGAGTGTAGATCTTGTTTGTCAGTGAGAAGTCCAATTCTCGGAGAGGAATTGGTTTGCCTGAGGGGTGAGGTCAGTGCACTTGCAAGAACTCAAGAAACAAAGCTCTATCACACCTCCTTTCCGACATAAACTGATACAAACGCAGCCGAATCCGCGACTGCCGACTTCAATTGACTGTGGTCCAAGATCCCTCCCCCGCGCAGACCACAACACACGAAACACAAACGGCCATCCAAACGGGCACCGTCCGAACCCCCGGACTTCGGATCGCGAAGAAGCGGTTAAATGCTGCCCACGCGACTGGTGAAGAGTTCTGTGAGCTTGGGGATGTATTCCACCAAACTTCCACCATCCAGGTGTTGTGCCCAGCGGACGATGTCTTCACCTGCGCTCGACTCATCCTCCTGAGCACCGCACTGGGCCGACACGACCAAACGAGCAGCACTTCGGTCCAGCAGGAAGCCGATCTGAGTGTCTTGCTCTTACTTTTCAGGGCCTCCAAGTACTACATCGTTGGGTCAAACAGTCGCAAAACCGCCACTTCAAGTACTGCAAAAGAACGGATTTACTTGCAACATGTTGGAACCACCAAAAAGATCCAACAATTGCATTTAAACTGAACACCCCTGAACATGCTTTTACAAATCTTCAATTGGTGCAGGATGACTGTGCCAAGCTGCCTGCGGGTAGCACTGATTTATCTCCAAACACTGCACAACAAACAGCGTTGAATACAAAACGCTCTTTCACCTCACACAGTCCAAATGAATCTTGGACTCATCTCCTGCATTCTGTTGTTGATATTTTTTGTATAAGTTAAAGGCATCAGAATCACTGACATGGAAGACGGATTGCATGCTTGCTCCAACTCCCGACGCCAAATCCTTGCCCAGTTTCGATCTGAACCACACCTCGCACCACGCGCCTCTTCTTCTCGACGCCTACGGGTTCGGCCAAATGCGACCGCGATGAACTGCGCGGCCGCTGCCGCAGCCGAGCGTTCAGGATGCGCACGTCCTCTTCCGCGTGCACGGGCGTGCGCGACGTGGACGACGCAGTGGCGGACGGCCGCCGAGCAGTGGCCGTTTTGGCCGGGGGAGAGATGTGCGTAGAGGAGCAAACCTCATAGACCAAGGCATCTTTGTATGCCTTAGCTGCTAAAAGCTCTCAGAATGCCGGTGAATTGATTTGGTTGGCCTGGAAGTACATGCCAAGTCTATGGCGCTGAGAACCAGCACAATCCACTATCTGCCAAGGTGAAACAAACAACCCAAAGGTCCACAGCGGGTTCAGTCAAACTCTATGACTCTCTACGATCTTCCATGCCACTGTCCCGGTTTTCCCAAATTAGAATCCTACCAAAGAATATCAAAGAACCCTCTTCTTAGTCCAGGTGCAAGAAAAATCTCTCCATCCATTGTGCTTTTCCCTCTTAGCCCCCAACACCACACTACCGTGCTCCCGCGTGCCCGTCTCCAGCGATGCCGAGTGGCCGGATGCGCCGTTGGGAGGAAGGCGACATGGTCGAAGGGGAGGAGTTCGATCTTGATACCGTGGGCCACACGGCGGTCGTTCACCCAGGTGCCATTGATGGAGGTATCCTGGAAGTACCCAGCTGCAGGCGTGGAAGGGACTGGTCAACGTGACGTTGGGGGTCAACACCCTTTTGGAAGTTTAGTTGGCGGGAAGTGGACCAACTGTCCATTGCTTGCACAACATTGCATGCAACCTACAGCACATCGCATGTGATGTGCAGTTGAATTGAGGTCCCCCCCGAGATCGGATGCACCGGGTTTACCATCCGTCTCTCCTGTCACCTCCCGGTGAAGCGAGCGCGAGCGGCTCGCGAGCTCGAGGGGAGCCGGGCGGGTGCGGAGGTCCATCGACACCCATTCCCTGTAGCGGATGATGGTTAGCTGTACCCTAGGGCTCCAGTGCCTCCCCAGGTTCGGCATGACTGGACCCGAACATGGCACCCATCTCATTCCCACCTTCTGAGCAAATATATAACATGGCAACCAGGTTACATGACCGGCCTATATACTATCCCCATGTGCGTCCATGTGCAGCCATGTACAGCCTGTCATCGACGTCAGCCCAGATTCCCTCGGACCGATTTCTTCCATCGGGGCGGTGGCAACTCACCAGCATGATCCGGCATCCATGCCAAACCCTTCACAGGTTAGTCAAGACGTATATATGTCAAAGTGAATGAGACCAACCTTCACACACACACAAGTGGGTGACCCGCCTGCTGCCTGCTTCTGAAAAATGAGGTATATGCCAGTTTCTCCAAGACTACCAAGTTGTATGTCCCATATGCCCGCTACCCTCAAGTGGAGATCTCAAGTGGCATTCCTGGCACCTTCCGTGCGTGAAGCAAGAAGCTAGTAGGTTGGAGGCCATCGCTAGAAGGTTGGAGGCCATGGCTACTAGTAACAAGAAGCTACTAGTTCGGAAATGAGTGTTTTCATTCTTTCGAGAACAATGCCATCCCCTGGCTCCGTCTCAGAGCATCCGCGCTCCAGCTCGGAGGCGGCCCGTCCTGGAGCGAGAGATGGCCTCCGGGGTCCAGTTCCAAAATGGCATGGGCCTTGGAGATGTGCGCCTTCGGCAAGACGACCTGGAGATGGGCGACGGTTTTTGGGAGATGGGCGACGTTCAAACATCCCATGGGGTCGGACAAATACATCGGATCGGAGGAGGTTCGGACCATTGAGAAGGATTGAGGGATGTCGCAAACGACCATGTTTCTTGAAAAGCTATTAAACTCCACTGGGTGCAAAGGACATCTCTTTGGTCCAAGGCACATCTGCCATCTCTTCATCCTCGGATTTGCCAGTGAGGAGGATTGGAAAAACAACAGTTCCTCATGGCTTCCTTATGGGAGATTTGCAAACGCACCTGTTGAATCCTCTTGAAGCAACTTTGCACAGTTTCCCTGTGGTTGTCGTCGAGGCATTCCATCATCTTGTTTTACTATGTTGCCCCCCGGAAGATTAA